TGAAGTGGGGCCAGGAGCCAGAGAAGGAAGAGGAATGTTCTGTCCTGGCCCTGCTCTTTCATGTCTTTAGCTTCTGCTGACTGCAGTCTGGTTCAGACTTGTCTGGATTGTAGAGACCTCACAGCGCCAGAAAAATGCAATGTCCCCATTAAGACTTCCATATCATGCTACCCAACTTTCATGTCACCCTCCCACCCCCAAACTTACAAAAGACAAAGCCTGGTTAGGGTTGTCCTTCACACAGGACAAGTTTGGAGTTTTCTTTGTTTATTTGTCCCCCCAAAATGCAAGAGCTACTTTAAAATCTGGCCTGCAAAGCCAGCAGCCACACAAGCCAGATTTCCTGCCTTTTTTTTCTGCCTTTTCTCACTGATGGAGGAGGGCTGGGCAGGAAAAGCCAAGCCCCTGCTTTTGTCTCCAGTGTCCAACTCCTACACGTGCTTACATCACGAATTCTCCCAGCAAGAACCCCCTAAGAGAACTGCTCAGTGGCCCCCTCAATTCTTGCGCCAGGCTCTGCCCAGATGCCAGACACAATATGTGAAACTCAGTCCCCATCTCCAGAGGAGACGGAGAAGCCAGGAACTCCCACAAGCATGAGGTGAGTACGGCTGTCCCCAAGTTGTATGCACAGTGCTGTAGGGACACAAGAGAAAAGCCCAGATCTTATCCCCAGAGAGGGAGGCTCATAGACTTACAGCTCTTGGGCCACCATTTTCCTTGGAACAACAATGCTCTTTAAAAAAAAAAAAATCAAATTGAAGGAGGAGGCTGCAATTCTTGGTAAGAAATGTACGCATTATCCCGCTCATGTAACCCCTCTGTACAGTATGTTCACAAATAAAATAAAATAAAATTTTAAAAAAATCAAATTGGCAGTCGTAACAATTTAAGCAGTAAGACTCCAAAGGAGAGGAAGTAGAGCTGTGGCTCAAGTAGTAGAACATAAACATAAAATTCAGGGATAGCAGCCAGGCCCTGCGTTCAAGCCCCAGGACTGGCGCACACACGTGCACGCGCGCGCACACACACACGCACACACACTGCATTTATAATTGATGATGACATAATAAGTAAATAATTTTTTTAATTCAAAGAAGAAAGTAACAAGACCCATAACCCAGAAATGGGCAACATAAAGTTATAAAATATAACATTTTTTTTTGTGGCCAGTCCTGGGGCTTGAACTCAGGGCCTGGGCACTGTCCCTGAGCTTCTTTTGCTCAAGGCTAGGACTCTACCCCCTTGAGCCACAGCACCACTTCTGGCTCTTTCTGTTTATATGGTACTGAGGACTCGAACTCAGGGTTTCATGCATGCTAGGCAAGCACGCTACCACTGAGCCACATTCCCAGCCCCAAAATGTAACTTTGCTGGAATTTAACGAAAGAAAATCAAACGGCTACTAAAGGAATTTGTGCAAAGGCTCAAAATACAAAAGAACCATCAGCGGCATGTGTGTGGAAGCCAGCCAGCAGGACTGGCTCTTGTGCCTGCCCGCTGTGGCAGCCCCACCTGCTCATGAACCAATCCAGGGCCTGCTGTCCACACTGGCAGACTTCCCATAAACAGGTGGAGCTTTCGGGTTAGTTAGTTGGGGCTTTTTTTTTTTTTTTCAGGATCTTAACAATATAGCTCTGACTAGCCTCCAACTGGCAGTCCTCCTGCCTCAGCCTCCTAGATGCTGGGATTACAGGCACACACCACCATGCCAAGGCTTAGATACTTGTTTAAAGAAGAAAGCAACACAGGGAAGACAGCAAGGAAGCAGGGGGAGGGGAGTGAGAGTGGGAGAAGAGAGGCTGAAAGAGGCAGCCTAGCAAACATCCTTGAGACTGGTGTCCTAATAACAGTATGGCAGCCTCCATTCAGTGAGCTCACCACATATGAAGCCTTACACCAAGCACTCTTCATTATCAGTCCAGTAAATTTTCACAACAGCATTCCATAGGAACTGTTGGCGCTGTCCTTTTACATCAAAGGCAACACCTCCAAAGAACGTGAACCCAGGTAGATGCTGTGAAATACAGAGCTTTGGATTCCTTGGGGAGTTTCTGAAGTTTCTCCCTGAGGTTTCCCCGCACCCCACCTCACACACCTCACTAAAGGACATTGCTCACCTATGTATAGAATCTGGGTCTATAAACCTATCTCAATACCATATCATCGCATGTCATCTTCGACCCCAAGAATGATTAAATGGTCCAAGCTGGGATGTAGCTCAGGACGTGTGCAAAGCCCTAGGTTTTCAGGGATGAAGGAGTTGTTTTGTCAAAATGCGTTATAACAACAATGACATATTTATGACCTTAAATCTTTAAAACAAAATTTAAAAAATCAGTCCAAACGCCAGTGGCTCACACCTGCAATTCTAGCTATTCAAGAGGCTGAGAATCATGATTCAAAGTCAGCCTGGACAGGAAAGTCCATGAGACTCTTATCTCCAATTAGCTCAAGTAGTAGAGCACTAGCCTTGATCACAGGAGCCCAGGCAGTGCCCAGGCCCTGACTTCAAGCTTCAGGACCAGCACACAAAAAAATAACAAAGGTTCAGAAGAAGCCGGGGCAATCGGGTGTAGAACTTGTGGCCATTTCACAGGTAGAGTGAGTGGGTGTCCTCTCCTGTGCTGTGTGTCTGATTTATTGGCTGGACTGGGTTTGTACCCTGGAGGGAAGGATGGAAGAGTGGTTGCCTGTACTCAGAGCAGGGGGCTCCTCTCAGGAGGTGAGTTGGATGAGGAGAGGCAGCAGACAGTGGGAACACAGGAGGGGAGAGATGGTTGGCATGGGAGCGGGCAGGCACTCACGAGGAGTGAGCCTCTGCAGTGGTCACATACAGGAGGGAGCACTGACGCTGGGCTCAGGGCTTCATGCTCTCCCTTAGCTTTCTCACGCAGGCTGGTACCCTACCACTTGAGCCACACTTCCACTTTTGGCTTTTTGCTGGCTAATTGGAGATAAGAGTCTCTTGAGTTTATCTGCCCAGATGACCTTGAACTGCAATCCTTAGATCCCAGCTTCCTGAGCAGCTAGAATGATAGGCATGAGCCCTGGCCCCTGGCTAGAGCAGCTGTTTTTAAGTAGCTGTCCGTTCAGAAGTTTGTTTCTCCCTACTCTTCCCTCCCAGCTCCTTCCAGGTTCCTAGCTCACACGCCATTCCTATGAGTGCAGTGGTGAGGTGGGGCGAGGGTGCAGCTCCGTGGTGGATGCTTGCCTGGCATGCCCAGGCCCCAGGCCCCATCCCCAGCACCACAAAAACACTTGGAATTCAGTGACGCGAACACCAGCCCCAACCTCCCGTCATCGTCATCGGCACAAGGCGCTCATTAGTTTTCACTCTGACCTCATCCAATGGAGATGCAGACAAGAGAGACCCTCCTTCCAGGCCTGGAAACAGCCACCACCAAATAGTCTGCATTTCCTGCTGGGTCAAGCTCTGGGGAGAGCCACCAGACCAATCTGCAAATCTCTTTGGTCCTGGAAGAGCTTGGCCACATTCAGGGAAAGGCTGGGCTTGGGGACCGAGGATCGAAAATGTCCACTTGGAAGAGATGGGAGAAAGGCCCAAGAGCTAGAGCCTTGTGTCATCTCTTCATCTATCTGCCGATAGATGCAGTCCGAGAGGAGAGGCCGTGTGTGTGTGTGTGTGTGTGTAACCACTTGAGCCACACCACCACTGCTAGTTTTTTGCTTGTTAATTAGAGAAAATAGTTCTACAGACTTTCCTGCCTGGGCTGGCTTCAAACCTTGATCCTCAGACCTCGGCCTCCTGAGTAGCTAGGATGACAAATTCTCCCCTTCAAAGTCACTTGGAAAGGGCCCATGTTAAAAGCCCGTAACAGAGCCTGGCACTAGTGGCTCACTTTGTAATCCTAGCTATTCAAGAGGCTGAGATTTGAGAATCACAATTCAAAGCCAGCCTGGGCAGGAAAGTCCGTGAAATTCTTTATCTTCAATAAAACACCAGAAAACTGGAAGTAGCGTTGTAGCTCAAGTGATAAGCACTAGCCTTGAGCTGAGGAGCTGAGGGACAGCACTAAGGCCCAGAGTTCAAACCCCATGACTGACAAAAAAGAGATCTGAGGATCATGGTTCAAAGCCATCCAGGGCAAGAAAGTCTATGAGACTCTCATCTCCAATTAACCAACAAAAAGCTGGAAGGGAAGGTGTAGCTCAAAGGGTAGAGTGCCAGTTTTGAGCAAAAGAGCCAAATAAGAATTCAAGGCCCCAAGTTCAAGCAGCAGTACTGGCACAACAAGGAAAAAAGTCCAGGCATAGTGGCACCTGCCTATAATCCTAGCTACTCAGGAGATGGAGAATCATGGAGGACCTTGGTCCAGGGCCAAACAAAGAGCATGAGACACTATCTAAAAACAAACTCCAGGGCTGGGAGCATGGCAAATTGCCTGCATAGTAAGTGCAAGGCTCTGGCTCTAATCCCAGTACCACTATAGGCTCACGCCTGTAATCCTAGCTACTCAGGAGGCAGAGATCTGAGGATCACGGTTCGAAGCCAGCCTGGGCAGGAAAGTCTGCGAGACTCTCATCTCCAAGTAACCACCAGAAAACCGGAAGTGGTAGAAGGTTTGCCTTGAGCTGAAGAGCTCAAGGACAGCGCCCAGGCCCAGAGTTCAAGACCCACAACCGACAAAAAAAAAAAAAAAATTTAAAGTGTATCCCTTCTGTGCCCCTCTGTACCCAGAGAGATCTGCAATTTTCTCTCAAAAGCACCTTCTCATGCTTATTTAGACAAAACAAACAAACAAAAAACCCACTTTGGCCCTGGAGGGTAAATGAATACTTCTGTAAATGTCCCGGGAACCTGGGGTAGGAACTGACTCCACCCCCACCCATCCACACAGCCGTTTTGATCACACGCACTGACCACAGCACCTGTGAATCCCCAAAGGCAGGTGGCACACAGCGTCTTCCTGTCTGACGGTCAGGCTGCGTTTCCTGTGCCCCAGGCTTCCTGAGCACCCCGGTGCAGTTGCTTCCTGTCCCTGACTCTATGTTTCCATTCTGCCAGGGTGGTTTGCTGTTTTCGCTGTGCTCGGAAGGTTCTCACGAGCCTCCTGGCAGCTTCTCTCTCTGAGAGGGCCCCTCCTGTTTCTATCAGAGGCAGAGACTGGAGATTCTCCCCAAGCCGCCTCACGTTGGAGCCCCAGTGCCCGGACGCCCGCTCACCGCCTGCAGTGGCCACCGCAGCCTCCCATGGTAGAGCCAGACCTAGCGGGCCTCTATCTCCACCCAAATCAACTTGATGTTTCAGGAAGAAGACACAAGGTAGGGGGTTTCAAAGACAGAAAGTTCTAGAAAGAACGCTTAGAAGCTCTAGAAAGATGAACCCAGCGGATTTGCTTGCTTGGTTTGGTTTGGGTTTTGTTAGGGCCTTTGATGACTATTTAGGAGGAATGACTTTTTTTTTTGGGGTCCGCTCGTGGGGCCTGAACTCTGGGCCTGGGCACTGTCACTCAGCTCTTCAGCTCAAGGCTAGCACTCTACCACTTGAGCCACAGTGCCGCTTCCGGCTTTTTTCTTTTTGCTTATGTGGTGCTGAGGAATCGAACCCAGGGCCTCAAGTATGCAAGGCAAGCGCTCTACCACTGAGCCACCTTCCCAGCCCCAGGAGGAATGACTTTTGTGAGTAAAAGCGGTGGCTGGGCAGTAAGACACGGAGCTCGGGAAGTTTTCTGTCATTCCTGGATTATATACTTTTCAACAAAAAGAAAGGGTTTCGGGCAAAACACAAACCCGTTTGCCTTTTCTTTTCAAGCAACACAGCACGAGCCGAGGAAAGGTGCCTCTCAGTGGTCATGATTTTGGAAAGGCGTAGGAGCTGAAGTCTCAGAGCTTCCGTGCCATGGCAGCCTCCCCCACCTCTGCGGCTGCGAGGAGGACCTCAGAGCCCAGCACGACCCCGGTGACCCTCGGCAGCCTGCAAGGGTGAGTGATTCGGGGTGAACTCTACTTCCCTGATTTACACAGAACACCCTGGTTCAGTCCACAGAGCTGCTAACCCAACAGTACCGCAGCTCCATACGTCCGGGCTCAGGTCCGCTAGGCCCACCAAACTCTAGGCATTTGAAAGCAGGTCCTCTATGCCCCCCCCCCCCACACACACACATAGAAACTAAAGGCCCAATTTCCCAAGGAAATGTGTTTTTAGATCCTAAAACCTTGCCACTAAGGGAAGGTGTGCTCGGAAATGTAATAAAGATATGTCTTAAGGACATAAAAAATCTCAGGAATAATCGCAATACAAAGAATCACAAATACAGATTCACCGCTACGGTTTTCAACTTCATACAAACAAAAGCAAAAGGTCCCTTGGGAGTAGGAGCTTCACAAACACTGGCAGGTATATATTTCATGCTGAAATCAAAATGAAACATAAAGGATGCTGCAAGCAGGTGGGTCACACCGGTCATCCTAGGATTACATCTCAGGAGGCTGAGATGTGAAGATCGAAGTTCAAAGCCAGCCCTAGCAGGAAAGTCCGTGAGACTCTTATCTCCAGTTAACCACCAGAAAACCAGCAGTGGAGCTATGGCTCCAAGTGGTAGTTGGCAGGCGAAGCTAAGGGGGAGCACAAGGCCCCCAGTTCCATCCCAAATACTGAGTTCAAGCCCCAGTACTGGCACAACTAACCAGTCAATCCATCAATCAATCAATGTGACTAGGTGTGTGGAAGTTGCTTATGTGCTGGTTGTTTGGAAGTACATGAAAAAAAAGTAGTCAGGAATGGTGTCATGATGGTGTTTTTTGTTTTTGTTTTTTTACAATGCCAGTAGATGATGAGAAATCCCAGAGAAGAAGCTATCACAGTTTAGTTTTGCTTGGAGACATCTGTCAGGCAGCCTAGGAGACTCGTCCACTAGAAAGTAAGCCTAGGCCTCAGGAGGGTCCAGGCCTGGTTTCTAATATATAGAGGTCACAGGGCAGTGAGAGATTCCTGCTCTTATTTCCAGTTATAATGGGCGCCACTGCCCCGGGTTGTAATCATCTGCATGCATTTCATCACCAAGCAGAGCAGTAACTCCAGCCCGGGCCAGGGAATTGCAAGGTAGCCCAGCGCTTGCTTTGGTTAAATTCTATGTGAGCAGTTCAGTGTTGCTTGGAGACCAGCTGGGGTCACTCAAGTTCACGCAAGCTGGACTTTGTCACAGAGCCACACCCGGATTGGGAGTTGAGTAATCCTCTCCTCCCAGCAAGCCGGGAATCTGGAAGGAGGAGATACAGGGCCAGATGGCTTGGGCTTGGCAAGTTTGGGAGTGTAGTGTGGTAGAAGAGAAAGAGAAAGAGCTCCTAACCCAGAGCGACCTCGACTCACATCCCATCTCCACCCCTTCCTGCCTGTACCATCATGGACATGGAACTTCTCCTTTCTGAGTCGTGGCCTCCTGGGCCACAGAGTGAGCTAGGATCATTGTGAAGTTGAAATAAGTTCTACATGCAAATCCCCAACATGTGGTAGACATTCAAAAGGAATAGCTCCCTTCACCCACGTGCAAATACTATTGTCCATGCAGTAATTATTATTCAGACACATCAACCCTCTTTTCTACTGTTTGGTCCACTCCACATTGGCTTTCTTCATGGAGTGCCCGTTCCAAATCCTTGGGCTCAATGAAATGTTTTCTCCTACTCCATCCCCTACCATCCTACAGCCATCTGGGATGTGACACTGGCTTTTCCTCCTAGAGATAAAGATCAGAGCAGCAGCATCTTCTCTGGCTTTTCAGGACTCCTGGCTCTCCTCCTGGTCATCACAGCTTTCTGCATCCTGTGGAACAGGAACAAGTGGAAGAAACGTGAGTCACTTGTCTGTCCCTGGTTGAGATGGAGTAATGCGCTGGGGAGTCCTCTGCTCTGACTCCTTACGCGATACACTAATCCTGAACTGCAGCGGCACGAGGAAGTCAGGGCCCTGGTGCCCCTGGACCCAGCTTCCTTTTCCTGCTTCTGTTCACTGAGTCTTCTGTTTCACTAGCTCAAATGGAAATTCTTCTAGCTCAAGTCTGAAAAACAGATTGTGTGTGTGTGTGTGTGTGTGTGTGTGTGTGTGTGTGTGTGTATGTGTGTGTGTGGGGTCCTGAGGTTTTGAACTCAGGGCCTGGGCCCTGTCCCTGAGCTTTTTTGCTCAAAGCTAGTGTTCTACTACTTGAGCTGCACCTGGGCTTGCTTTGAACTGTAATCCTCAGGCCTGAGCCTCCCAAGTAGCTAGGATGACAAGCATGAGCCATGGATGCCTGGCTGAAAATAGATTTTTTTTATGATGCATGGGGAATGTGTCCAAGGCCCATCTGGCCCAACTAGTCTCCACATTCAGTGTTCTGGTCCCTGTCATGACCCTGTCTGACTGCCTTTCAGGGAAATCTCCTTACCTCCAAGTGACTGACCTTCCCTCGCTGGCTCTGCCTCGACCCAGACAGCGAGCCAAGAATGTTTATGACCTCCTGCCTCGGCAGCAAGACGATCTAGGTAAGCTTCTCCTTTGGAACCACCGATTTCTAATGTTTAGAACTTCTGCTCCCAGAATGCACCTCTCACCACTCAGAAGCACGGTTAAGCTTCCAGATGGTTCTGCCCAGCTGATAGTGGCAAGGAGAAAGGACTAGATAAGACTATAGGCTATACCTCCAGTGTGGGGCTGGAGAGTTCTAAAAGGGAACAGAGGGTCATTTGGATTTGGGGTTTGGTTTTATTTGACACTGAGATAACAGAGGAAAGCCAGGTATGTCTAGGACTGGGATGTTGACCTGGCATTACAGGCAAGGGGTGGAGAAGTCTTTAACAGAAGGTGCGTAGGAAGCTTCCAGATCTCAAAGCACATCACACCTGTAGCCTGAGTATCTCATCATCAAGTACTAGTCTGGAAGTAGCAGGGGCTGTGCAAACCCAGGTCTCCCACCAGGCAGGAATTGTTGAGGCTGAAGCTCTCTGAAGACTGGCCAGCTATCTCTGTCATTCCAGGGAGACATCAGTTAAGGAGTAGCCAGGTGTTCAGTACCGAAAGCCTCCTTTCCAGAAATGCTGACAGCCCTGAGCATACGGTAAGACACCAGGGAAGAGAGAAGCCCTGGAGTGAATGACAGGGCCCCTGGCCGGAGAGCTGGGAGGAATGAATTTGAGGCCACAGATCTGGTTTCACAGCAGATAAACCATGTGTTCTGTGGCCCATACCCTGTAGTTCCTATTAATATATTAGACCTCCCTATTGCCCAAAGAGAAATATTTAAGAATTTAATTTAGATTTTAAAATGTTACAGGCTGGGAATGTGGCTTAGTGGTAGAGTGCTCACCTAGCATGCATGAAGCCCTGGGTTCCATTCCTCAGAACCACATAAACTGAAAAGGCCAGAAGTGGTGCTGTGGCTCAAGTGGTACAGTGCTAGCCTGGAGCAAAAGAAGCTCAGAGACAGCACTCAGACCCTGAGTTCAAGCCCCAGGACTGGCAAAAAAATAAATAAAGACAGGAAACAGAAGCACAGAGATATGGGGTAAAGTGCTCAGGGTGGGAGGCTGCGTTGGCAGCCCTGCTCTGAATCGAAACCTCTACCTTTTCTTTCTTTTTTTTTTAAATTTTGGTACCAGACCTGGACTCAAACTCAGTTTTTGACTTTTGCTTTCACTCATTGGCTGGAGCTCTAGGAGCCGAGCTATGCCTCCAGTCTCAAGTGTCTACCCTTTGCCTGCGTGTTCCATTGCTTCTCTGTGAGGCAGAGTTCACCAGGCCTCCTCATGCTCTCACTTGGCTTTTCCACTCAAGGCTGACTCTCTACCACTCAAGCCATGCCTCCACTTCCAGCTTTTTGCTGGTTAATCAGATATAGGAATCTCACAGATTTGTCTGCTTGGGCTGCTGTCAAATTTGGATCCTCCCATCTCAGCCTCCTGAGTACAGTTAGTTCGGATTATTAGCACGAGTCTGCAGTAGCTAGCCTGTGACTGCTTTTCTTAATCACCACCCACTTTCGCTCACACCCTTGCACCCGACCTGGCCTCTAGAGCCTCATAGTGTAGAGCTCTGCTCTAAGGAGGAGAACAAATGAAAGAATCGGGGGGGGGGGCTGGGAAGGTGGCTCAGTGGTAGAGCACTTGCCTTGCATGCTCAAGGCCCTGGGTTCGATTCCTCAGCACCACATAAGAAAAAAGCTGGAAGTGGCGCTGTGGCTCAAGTGGTAGAGCGCTAGCCTTAAGCTGAAGAGCTGAGGGACAGCGCCCAGGCCCAGAGTTCAGGCCCCACGACCGGACCCAAAAAAAAAAAAAAAAGAATCCAGGGGCCAGGCAGGAAAGGGCAGGCCTTGTCTCTACTGCTTCACCATCCAGTCACTTTCTCTCCTTCCTGACAGCTCTCCCAAGCAGATGAGGCCCTCCAGCTGGACAGAGCCCATATCCAGGCTGTGGGGTACACAGTGGGAATCTACGACAATGCCACAGTGCCCCAGATGTGTGGGCACCCTGCTCCTTCCACATACTACATCAACATCACAGCATCCAGGGATAGCTCGAGCATGTCTTCAGAGGAGTCCAATGACTATGTCAATGTCACCACTGCAGAATCGGCTGCTGAGACTCTAACTTCAACCAACAGCCTGCCTGAAAATCTGTTTGGTCTTCCTAGTACCCAGGAGTTGGAGGTTACTGAGGAAAGGCATGCAGGCCACGGGGACATCAATGACTGCCCTTGTTTTGGGGCTCCAAGAACTGAAGACAGTGACCCACTCAACAGTGAGGAAGATTCCTCTCAGACATCAGATGATTATGTCAACGTGACAGGCTTAGATCTTGAAGATATCCAGGAGATTCTGCCATGGGTGGCTTTTCAGTGCTGTGGAGATTATGAAAATGTCCCACCAGCAAAGCCCAATGGAAGCCAGCAGCAGGCTTTGGAGGAGGTGGCCTGTGCACTCACAGACCACAGAGAGGACCACACAACAGGTCCAGGGACCCACAGCCAACTTGCCATGAGGAATTCCCTGTCTCCAGGGTATTATATAGCCTTTCAGCCTCCGACAAAGAGAGGGAACAGTCAGGTGACATGTGGGAAAAAGATGTCAGATGTAAATTCTCACGACTATGAGAATGTACTAGCTACTGACTCAGAGTGCGGGAACCGGGAGCCTGAAGGAACGCTCGGGTACCAAGCTGGAAAGCCACATGGGGTGGCATACTCTGCTGGCTCCTCAGCCACTGCCAAGCTGAATGAAAGCCCTTGAGCACTCTGGTGAACCAGTAGCTTCATGGCTTGGGTCAAAAAGAGGCTTAGACAGCTGGGAATGTGGCTTGGTGAGTGCTTTGCCTAGCATGCATGAAGCCCTGAGTTCGATTGCTCAGTACTACATACACAGAAGAAGCCACAAGTGGTACTGTGGCTCAAGGGGTAGAATCCTAGTCTTGAGCAAAAGAAGCTCAGAGACAGTGCCCAGGCCCTGAGTTCAAGCCCCAGGACTGGTTAAAAAAGAAAGAAAAGGAAAAAGGAAAGAAGGGACTTAGAGAAGTAGGAAGCAGACAGGCCATCCCAAAACAGACTCGGGACACCCAGAATGAAGTTCTTTTCAAGCTAGGGCCCCTTGATCTCTCAGATCAGCTGGAGGAAGTTTGTTGCAATTGCCTTTCTGGACTGTTCAGAAAGAGAGAACCAAATAATAATTAGGGTGCATTGGATGTATGACATATCCAAAGTAATCATATTCATGGGTACCAGCAAGCTAAAAGCATGCCTATCTGTGCCAGTCAAAGGGAAAAAATGTTCAACTGTGATTGCAATTTCTATCTTGGTACATGCTAATTTACAGCAATGCTACTGTCAAGGGATTGTGTATTTCTAAATGGTTTCTGTTTTGGGTTTTGTTTTGTTTAACTAAAACTGAAGTAGAGATATCAGTCACACAGAATTTTTAAAGTGGATAGATTGCAATGTAAAAAATGTGGCTAGAGCCAGGCCTCAAGTAGCTCATACCTGTCATCCTAGCTGCTCAGGAGGCTGAGCCCTGAGGATCATGGTTCAAAACCAGCCAAGGCAGGAAAGTCCAGGAGACTCTGGTCTCCAATTAACCATCAGAAAACCGGAAGTGATGCTGTGGCTCAAGTGGTAGAGTGCTAGCCTTGAGCTGAAGAGCTGAGGGACTGCTCCCAGGCCCAGAGTTCAAGCCCCATGACCACCACCAACAACAAATGTGGATAGAGGGATGGGAAGGTGGCTCAGTGGTAAAGTACTTGCCTTGTATGCATGAAGCCCTGAGTTCAATTCCTCAGCACCACATAAGCGAAAAATCTGGAAGTGGCGCTGTGGCTCAAGTGGTAGAGCGCTCGCCTTGAGTTGAAGAGCTGAAGGACAGCACCCAGGCCCAGAGTTCAGGCCCCACGAGCAGCCAAAAACCAAAAAAACAAAAACAAAACAAACAAATAAACAAAAACAAATGTGGATAAATTACAATGTAAGAAAAAAAGTGGATAGATTGCATTGTAAAGACTGAAGACTGAAAAGGAGATGCCCAGGTTAACTGCAAGGAGAGAGCATTCCAGAAGGAATTGCAAGTACAACAGTTTAGAGGCAAAAAGGTTTCCATGTGTGTGAGGACCAGAAAGGAGGCCACTGTGGCTGCTGTGTGGGGAATGATGGATACTAATGGTGAGAGGAAGATGAGATGGCGACCAGGTTAAGCAATATTTTTTTTTTGGCATGGGTCTTGGGACTTGAACTCAGGACCTGGGTGCTGTTCCAGGCTCAAGGATAGCACTCTACCACTTGAACCACAGAGCTACTTCCAGCTTTTTCTAGTGGCTAATTGGAGGTAAGAGTCTCATGGACTTTGTAGCCAGTGCTGGCTTCCAAACTCAATCCACAGATCTCAGTCTCCTGAGTAGCTACGATTATAGACATGATTCACCAGCACCTAGATCAAGCAGTATTCTATAGGCCACAATAAAGATATCCTGATTAGCATTTAATTCTAACTGCATTAATAAGCCATTTAAGGTTTTTGTTGTTGTTGTTGGGGTTTGAACTCAGGACTTAGGCACTATCTCTTAGCTTTTTAGCTCAAAGCTAGTACTCTATCACTTGAGTCACAGCTTCACTTCTGGCTTTTTTCTACCTTCCAGTTTTAACATCTTGGATCAATAGCCTGTTGGAATTTGGCAGTCCCCACATACCAGATCCATAACGTCAGAGTATATTTTACAATGATAATTTACATTTGATAAAATAAGGTTTTGTTACCAAAAACTTAAGGCAGCTAAGTTTGTATCTTGCGGGGAAAAAAAATTTAGTCAAGAACACAGTGAAGGTGAGGATAGGAAAATTTATTAGAATAGAAATATGACAAAGCAAGAGAGCAGGAGGCATCGGTATGCCACAGGAAGACAACTCTCCAGCCCATCTCAGCCATTTTGTGTTATCTTCCCAGTTATTCCCAGAGATTGGCCTTGGGTTAAATAGGAAGAAGTGGGGGTTTTGAAGATTGATGGGCCTCCTTACAGTTCCCTACAGGGTCTGGGTGCCAAATCTTCAGTCCTTCTTACTTATTATTCATTTGTAACCTCAACCCCTCAGGCAGATTTTTGGCTTATCATTTTATCCTGTCATCTGCAAGCTGTATAGGCCTCAGTTCTCTGACTACCTACTTTCTACTAACTCCAATCATTTTACCTACCAACTATATAAAGTACTAATTCGGGCCAGCTTGGAAAGCTCTAGGCTATAAAATCCCTAAGCTGTTTGGAAAGCAATCATGAAAAATCCTTAGGTGTGGCACAGTCAGAGACTGGTTACCAGGAACCTGCTTGTTAGGTCCAGTTGTCATGGTGATCAGAGTATTGTCGTGTAAGCCAGGATGCTGCTGGAATTCTGAGGTTGTGGCTTCTCACTTCCAAAGAAGGTAAAAACCTACTTGTGAGGAGGCCCCCTCGGATTGATAGATGCTCAGTCACTGGCTAGGGTAAGGAAAATAAGAGGAAATGAAAGGTGCCTGGACGTTCTTCCCTCTTTGTTATTATCAAGCATATCTTTTCTCAGCAGAAACCTATTCTGTATGTATGTTAGGTCTAATGTTCCTCCTAAGAAAGTTCTGTTCTGTTAGTCCAGGATTATTTTAGGCTCTTAATAAAGCAGTGTAATATATTTAAATGTATTTTAGCTTAGGAAGTTAAGAAAGTATATATACTGAGACTAAGAATAATGAAATTATTTCCTAAGAATGAGGTTAGGGCAGATTTTAAATTTCTAATCTCTATAGATCTCTGTATTATTTATTTTTAAAAGGTTAAAAAAAATGGGCTGGGGTATGGCTTAAGAGGTAGCGTGCTGGCCTAGTAAGCATAAGGCTGTTAAGTTCAAATCCCATTACTGCAACAACAACAACAATAATAATAATAATCCTTTTCTCCTTAAAAAAAGAAAGGTTTAGACACTCACACAGGAAAACACAGGATATTAACACTGAAACTCACAGGCAGCTAGCTGCTCATCTTTTTCCCTTTTCTGCCCCTCCTCGGGAATTTTTCAACAAGCCTGACTTTCCTAACGCACAAATTGGATTTAAGAAATAAAATGCCTAAAAGCTCCACGACTTGGAATAAAAACAAATGCACCAAATAGTTCAATACTAATGGGGGGGGGGGAGGAGGGAAGTAGTTTGTTAGATTTCCACACGCTCTGGGGACGTAATCATTAAGGCCACTCTGATGACCGGCGCGGTCTGATAGGTTCTGGCAGCTCTTCCTGGCCCTCCTCCCCGGCCTTAAAAACGTCATCGGAAGGGACCCCGCGCATGCGGCCTGGCGCCGCCCCGCTCGCTCACGTGACTCCGCGCCCGGGCAGCCATTTTAGCCTCGTCGCACAAACAAAACTACACTGTCCAGAATCCCTTGCGCATTGCGTCGCGCTGGCACTTTTCGTGGCGGGGGCCTTAGACCTCTACCTGTAGCCGGGCGCCATCTTTGACGCTGGCAGTCCAGGATCTCTGCTGGCTGTGGCTGGCGTGAGGACGGCGGGCAGCCGCGGCTGAGAAAGAAGAGAGACGTGGCAGCAGGCGGGAATCGGAGATAGTGTCCTCGGTTCGGTAAAGTTTCTGTTCTCTGGTAACTAGACCCGTTTTTTGCTTCCCGGCTGGCTTGGGAGGTGGGAAGGGGGCCAGGCGAGTGACCGTGGCCGCCTCCGGCCCCCGGGTCTCGGCCTAGCCCGGGAAGTCAGGGCAGGCGGGCGGGGTGGGGGGGGGTCCTGGGGCCCCCGCTGTAGCGACCTCTGTCCCCTTCCCGGCCGCGGCCTCCCCGGGGCGGCCGGGGCTCCGGCTCCCGCCCCCACCCGCTCCCTCCACTCCCCCCCCCCGCCGTCCTCCCCGCCCCCACCCCCGCGGCGCCCGCTCCTCCCCAGCCACCTCCTCCCCTCCCCCACATCCGGCGCTCGCCCGGCCGGGAGCCCCAGAAAGCCTCCTCTTCCCGGACCCCCCCCCCGTTAGGGGAGCTGGCACTGTGTGGCCGGCTCTCGGGCAGCAGATTCACCTAGTGCCTGGGTCCACTGACCCGCCGGTGTCCCCAGGTTCCTCCACCCAGCAGCTTCTCCGCCACTTCCCTTATAAAGTTACCGAATTCCTCTGTCCTCCACCCATTCCCCACCCTAATCACACACCCCCTTCTCCCCCTCCCCCCCCCCAACCCCAGCCCCAGCCTCGGAGTGGAGAGCTACGGGGGACACTTGGTTCTCCTTGTAGGATTGGAGAGACGGTAATGAAGAACACCCCCCTAAACTCTCAGATTGGTGCGGATTCCTATGGGGAAGGCCCTTATTGTTGACATCTTCCAGACTTTGGTTCTGGACCTTGAGAAAGGAGGCTGTGGAACTAGTAATAGCGATGCTTTTTAGGGTAAATGTGTGTAGGTATTGGGGAGAAGGGAGGGAGCAGTGATAAAAGACATGGAGGTGGGTTGAAGCTTCTATTTCAGTTTTTGCTGTTCATCTAATGGTCAATTTGTGAGTTACCTTATTTACAGGTTTTGTTTACAGGTTTTAAAGCTTGCTTCAGTTTTAGAAAAAAGTATTAACTCGGGATAAAAATGAATTTTTAATGCAGCTTGTGACCTTGTAAAAATTTTTTAACTCCAAAGAATTTTTGTTCAGCCACTTATATTTTTTAAAATTGTATTACTGTAGTCAGAACTCAAAGGGTTCAACTAGCAGTTATGTTAATGACCAGTATGTGGAGTCTGATTTAGCTTTCCAGAATTGACTTTTTGAGTTGTATTGGCAAATCATTGTCCTAAATGATGAATGTTGAATGATGCACTATGTTTTTGTTTAAATGAAATTTCCTGAAAATAATTAATTTCAGAATTAAGGGAAAATCGATATTGCTATCAGGAGGAGTCATAAAAATAATGTATTTTAAGAACTGAAGGCATTTCAAACAGATAAGAGTTGTTGATAAAGCAGAACATGAACCTGAGATTTGGAAGACCTGGCTTTTCTAGCTGCCACTAACCAACTCTATGACCGTGGGAAAGTGGGCCTCAGTTCTTCTTTCTATAACATGAGAGCACTGGACTGCTTAAATTCAGAACTCAGAAAGCTAGAAGGGATCTTAAAGCCCTCTAAGAAAGAGCTTAGGGATGTTCTCCATTGCTGCTATTTTTCCTCCAGAAATAACCTGCCTTGGAAGTCATTGGTCCCAAGGGAATTTGACTTTCCCTAGAAATTGGAGAAAAGGTAATGCAAGTAGAGAGGAACAACAGTATTTCTGCATGAATAGTAAAGCCACCATCAGATTCTGGTTTGAATTTTGGAGCCATAAAGAGAATGAGTATATGCACTCTAAGTGTACCAGTTTCCTCACTCTCTCCTAGTAGAAGATACAGCTCTTTTAGTGGTGCTGGGGTTCTGGGATGTGTTTCCATTAATTCTAATACTGATGAAGAAGATGTGGTAGAGGAAAATATGGTGGCAGGAGTGGATAAAGAGGCAAAATTGCCTGCTAAAAAGAAAAGAAAGAAGGGTTCTCGAATTAAAGGAAAAAGACGTCGGAAAAAATTGGTCCTTGCCAAAAAATTTAATAAGGATTTGGGATCTGGGAAGCCTGGTGCCGATACCCCTACTTTGACAGCTTCTAGTGCCCCTGAGCCAGATGAAGAAAGTCTTTTTGAGAGCAATATAGAAAAGCAGATCTACCTACCTAGTACCAGAGCCAAGACTTCTATTGTGTGGCATTTCTTTCATGTGGACCCCCAGTACACTTGGCGGGCTATTTGTAACCTCTGTGAAAAAAGTGTCAGCAGGGGTAAGCCTGGCAGCCATCTTGGTACTTCTACTCTTCAACGACATCTGCAGGCAAGACATTCACCTCACTGGACCAGGGCCAACAAATTTGGAGTCACTAGTGGGGAGGAGGACTTTACATTGGATATGTCTTTGTCTCCCTCTTCTCCTGGAAGCAATGGAAGCTTTGAATATATTCCTACTGAGTCATTAGATGATAATAGAATGGGTAAGAAACGTGATAAATCCACATCTGAGGCCCTAAGGGCAGAAAGAGGGAGATTTCTCATTAAAAGTAACATTGTCAAGCATGCCTTAATTCCTGGAACCAGAGCCAAGACATCTGCAGTTTGGAATTTTTTTTACACTGATCCTCAGCATATCTCAAGAGCTGTGTGCAATATATGTAAAAGAAGTGTGAGCCGGGGTAGACCGGGTTCCCACTTAGGAACTTCAACACTTCAACGACACCTGCAGGCCACACATCCCATCCACTGGGCTGTTGCCAACAAAGACAATGGTGCTATTGGAAATGGATTAGATGACACTGAGAGTGAGAGCAATGAGCTCTTGAATGACACTTTGAATGGAGAAAAGTCTACAGGCAGCCAAGATTTAATAGCTGAGGACCTCAGTGACTCTGAATCAGATGAACCTCCTGCTTTAGATGTTGAAAATAGATCTGAGAGTCCTATTCCTGTTGTAGAGCAAGATAATGTGATGCATACAGAAGAAAGGGAAACAACATGTGAAAATTCAACCTCAAGTCAAATAAGTCAGGCAATTATTCAAATGATTGTAGAGGATATGCATCCTTATAACTACTTTTCAACTCCAGCTTTTCAAAGGTTCCTACAGATTGTGGCTCCAGACTACAGGTTGCCATCAGAGACTTATTTTTTCACTAAAGCTGTGCCTCAGTTATATGACGCTGTCAGAGAAAAAATTTTCTTAACCTTGGAGAATGTTCAAAGTCAAAAGATCCATCTCACCGTTGACATATGGACCCATGACCCATCTACTGACTATTTTATTGTCACTGTACACTGGGTCTCTTTAGAAGCTTCATCTTCTCTCAGTAACAGTGGCATCCCTGATTTTAGAAAGTGGGCAGTGCTCTGTGTCACAGGTTTGGCCAAAGACTGTCTGGTAACCAACATTTTACAAGAACTAAATGACCAGATTGGTCTGTGGCTTTCTCCTAATTTTCTTATCCCTAGCTTCATTGTTTCTGACAATTCTTCTAATGTGGTACATGCAATCAAAGATGGTGGTTTTACTCATGTGCCATGCTTCCTGCATTGTTTAAATATAGTCATTCAGGACTTTTTCTGTGAGCACAAAAGCATTGAGAATATGTTAGTGGCTGCTAGGAAAACTTGTCATCATTTTAGTCATTCTGTCAAGGCCCGTCAGATACTGCAAGAGTTTCAAAATGATCAGCAGCTTCCATGGAAGAATTTGAAGCAGGATGAAACTGGTCACTGGATTTCCACTTTTTATATGTTAAGATGGCTCTTGGAGCATTGCTACTCAGTTCATCACAGTCTTGGTAGAGCTAGTGGAGTTGTTCTCACTTCCCTTCAGTGGACTCTAATGACATATGTTTGTGATATTCTTAAGCCATTTGAAGAGGCTGCCCAGAAAGTGAGTGTAAAGACCACAGGATTGAATCAGGTGTTGCCCCTAATCCACCATCTACTCCTCTCTCTGCAGAAACTCAGAGAAGATTTTCAAGTCAGAGGTATTGCTCAGGCCCTCAGTCTGGTGGACAGTTTATCTTTGAAACTGGAAACAGATACCCTACTTAGTGCCATGCTCAAATCCAAGCCCTGTATCTTGGCTACTTTGTTAGATCCTTGTTTTAAAAACAGTTTTGAAGACTTTTTTCCTCAAGGTGCTGATTTTGAAACATACAAACAGATTCTTGCAGAAGAGGTTTGCAGTTATATGGAATCTTCACCAGAGGCATGCCAAATTGCAACTTCAGAAGCATCTGGTCCATTAGTTACAGTAGGAGCTGATTCATTTACCTCATCCTTAAAAGAAGGCACCTCCAGTTCAGGTTCCATGGATAGCTCAGCTGCAGACAGTGTTACCATTGGAAGCAAAGGCTTCATGTTCCCTTCTGCTAAAGCAGTAGTGGATGAGTACTTCAAAGAGAAGTATTCAGAGCTCTCAGGAGGTGATGACCCTTTGGTTTACTGGCAGAGGAAGGTGAGCATATGGCCGGCTTTGGCCCAAGTTGCCATTCACTATCTAAGTTGCCCTATGTGTAGTTGGCAGTCTGAATGTATGTTTACTACAAATAGCCACTTTCATCCAAAGCAGATCATGAGTATGGACTTTGACAATATAGAACAGCTAATATTTCTGAAAATGAACTTGAAAAATGTTAGCTATGATTACTCTACATTGATTCTGAGCTGCTATCCAGAGAATAAGGTTGCTCAAAGCAATGAAAAAGAAATAGTACATTAATTTCTTTTTCCTTTCTCTATTTAAAATGAGCAATATTACTATATCCTTTATTACTATAGTTCCAATGTATAGGTATACTAATTATTTAAAAATACAGCTGGACATGGTGACACATGTCTATAGTCCCAGCTGCTTGGGAAGCATAGGCAGGAGGATTACTTGAGCCCATGAATTCGAGACCAGCCTGGGCAACATAGCGATACCCCATTAAAAGTAAAATAAAAAACACAAAAGCTGGGGAAGCCTGAAAATTCCTCAGAGACAGTATAGTGTTGAGCAAATGAAGGTTAACTTTAAATTTTTTTCAGTTTTAACTCAATGTAGGTAATACTCACAGTTGAAAGAAAAATATTTTTTTATTAAAAAAATATAGTGCAGCATTGAAAGCTTTGTTTCTGGCTCGGTATAGATTGAATTAGTTTGAAATAAAACCACCCCAACCTGGGAAGGTTGATTACTAGAATCAGTGAATCGAAACCCTCCTAAGCTGCTGTTCCTCCCCATCCTCGTTTTACTAGCGCTTTGAGAACCATGATGTTTACTTACAAATTTGCAAGAAGAAACCCATGAAATTGTTTTATATTTGGAAATTTCGAATTACCTCCTCATACTGGTCAGCTTTATAATACCAAATTGCTGGGTGTGATAGAATTACCCTTTGTATTTAGGATTAGGTTTGTATAAAAAGGAAATAAGAAAAAAATTAGGAAAAAAATTTAGTCTTTGAATTGCCTTTTCCAACCTTTATAATATAGAATAACAAAGATAGCGTAGGTGCTCTTTGTATAGTTTTATGGCTAATAATGCAGTAAAACATTTGTACAACTGAAAAAGATTCAGTGAGATTTGAAATGTAAGCCCTATGAGCATACTTTGACAAACCCAGTATGAATTCCCAAAGGTTTAGTTTAGGTGTCTTTTAAAAAGCATATTTGGTTCATAATACTATATTCTTAGCTAACAGTTGTTTGAACACTGTATTCTTAACTAAAAATAAGCAGTCAATATTTTAATGGTGAAAAGAATGAGCTGATTTCAGTAACCCTCAAAAGTTCCCTGCCGCTCTGAAAGTTCTATCTCTGTGATTTGAGTGGGAGGCCAGAAAATGATGACTTTTAGTAAAGGTCTCTTCAAAGTTTCAGACTGCATAACTAATGTAAGGTCCCAATTTTTCCTGTTTTTCATTTTAGATTTGGGGATATTCCCTGCCCAAAAATTTCCTGGAAAATTGACTAGTATTAAGTGTGAGTAAAAGGTGTCCACTTTTTTTTTTTTAAGTTTTGATTTTAGTTTTGTCTTGGATAGTATTTGACAAGATTTAGCCTAGAAATTATGTAGTATTTATTACATAAGAATCAAAATTGCTTTGTTACTGGGCTGGTTTCAGAATTTGGAAAAGTAATTTCTGTGTATCAAAATACCTTTTTAAAATTTTTTTTATTCTTAAATGGTAACTGTACCATTGTGAAGTGAAATTTCAACCACAGAGTTTATCCTTTTATCAACTGAGTAAATGGCTAATTGCCAAGTCTTTAGCTATAGCCATCTGTAGTAAAGAATTTGGATCTAGACCTCATAAACAAGCCTTTGCAGGGCCAGTATTGAATGTCATACCAGTGATACTGGTGCTGAAAGAAAAGCGGAAAAGGGTCCCACTGATAGGAAAAACCTTCCTTTAGATCCAGTGTCTACTCAGAATGGCTATAATGCTGCTGTGCCTTCAGTTGACTGCACCACTCTGTAGTTACTCTGTTACTATACATTTATATCTGTTTTGGTTAAAGACTCCATGATGATGATGATGATGGTGGTGGTGATAGTATATCCATCCATATCATGCACATTGATAGTTGTGGGGGATTTCCCTTTATTTTGTGGGCTGGGCAAAATTTAATGTCACATTAACTATGGTACTTTGGTATAAGACTAAATTCACTATTTTTATAATGAATCCAAATCCAAAGGCTTTTAGAATATATTTTAAAAGAGGGAACTTAACCCAGATGTTTTATTTCTACACATTTGTGTGTATATGTGTGCGTGTGTACAAGCCAATTAGTGTATATGTATTTTATATACATAAAAGCTTTATATTTTTACATATAGTATGCTTCTATTATACAGATAATAAAGATGGGGGAAGGTTTCTGTTTTTTTCTTAATAGGTGAAGAAATCTTGAAGACCAGAAATTGGATCTTATTGAATTTTGGTGTTTTTTGTTTTTGTTTTTTCTCTTTTTTCCTTTTCTTTTTCTTTTTGTATTTTTTTCTTTTCAAATTATATTGTTCGACTATGGAAGATGGATTTTTTTTCTTATTCTTTGAATCTCAAGTTCATCTTTAAGTGAACTTTTTTTTTTTTTTTTTTTTGAGGAGATAACTAATGCTAGCTGTCTCCAGTCTGACAAAGGTTATTCGAATGGACTTCATCTTCCAGTAGTTGGGAGATGTTTTAAAACACATCCTGTGTTTCAATTGTGGCTGAGAGGTGTCCTTGGCAATGTGAGGAGGAAAATTCTTTCTGCCTCATTATTATTAATTCATGGATTGAGTGTTGGTTCGACCTACAGGCGTAATAGATTGGAACTCAGTGAAGACACAGATGTTCCTGTTGAGAGCAACCAGCTAATGTAAGTGGGGAAGTGCCTTTTTCTCATTAAAGGAGTAAAGATTTTTTATAATGTAAGGTATAATTTTCTTGGACTAGTAAGAAATTTAAAATTTAAAAGAAATTTAAAAGACTTTTTCTTTTCCTCTGCTTGTTCACAGGTTTTTAGAAAAAGCTTGGGGATAGAAATATGATTTCTTTTCCTTTTTTTCTGAGTAATAGTACATAGCTATTGTAAAAAAGGTTTTTGTTTTAAAAAAGAAAGAAAGAAAGGGGCTGGGAAGGTGGCTCAGTGGTAGAGCGCTTGCCTTGCATGCATGAGGCCCTGGGTTCGATTTCTCAGCACCACATAAGCAGAAAAAACCGAAGTGGTGGTGTAGCTCAAGTGGTAGAGCACTTGCCTTGAGCTGAAGAGCTGAGGGACAGTGCCCAGGCCCTGAGTTCAGGCCCCACAAACAACAACGTACATACATATATATGAATGTGTATATATGTGTGTATTACACATCCAAGATGAAATTCTGTAATTCAGTTTCCTTGAGAAAAATACACCGTTCCTTGTCCATGCACATAGCTCTGCTTCATCTTTTTAGTGCCCATGTAATGTTCCATTGTATTAATATGCCATAATTTTATGTATCCTTTGTTAATAAACATTTTGGGTTTTTGCTATTACAAACAAAAATAGAACATATCCAATAACAGCTTTGTGCACATATCCATATGAACTTACTACCTTTTAGGATCAGTTCTTGAGTGCATATTGATAGAATTACTGTATGTTACTCTAAAGAGGTTGTAACAACCTCTAAAGTGGTTGAACAACTAATGAGGCCGCTTCAATTAGCAAAAGCTGTCAATTGTAGTAGTACTACTCTCTCTGGTCATGTTGTAGATAAAGCTTTTGCTGTATAAATGTTACCCTTTTTCTTTTTTTTTTTTTTTTTTAAACAAATAGCTTAAGTATTTTATTTGTTTGCAACTAAGCTTGTTAACACTATATAATGAAAATGTA